AAGAGGTCAAGGAATGGCAGACCCCCAACGGTGTCGTGTCCGACTCGACGGTAACTGGTCGGCCGGAGCCGGTAGCTCCCCCCGGTGCCATGCAAGTTGATGCCCCCATGCGAATCGCCTGCTACTGCCGGCATCACGCCGAGAAGTTGGGTTTTCAAGTCATCTTCACCATCAAGGACTGGCAGGACCGGGTTGTTGCGCAGGAGATGTCCCAGTCCATCATGATCACCGACGACCACAAGACGCATCCGATTCCCCAGCAGCTCAACCCCCCCGCCACGCAAGCCTCCGACAGCACCAACCTCGTACCCATGCTGAACGCTCCAATGGAAACCAGCCCGCTCAGCTCGGGCGGTGCACCATTCCGGCTTTCTCATTCGAGCTCCGATCTACAGAACATGCACCGCAACTCCGCCCCTCAGTTCACCGCCCCGAACCCGACCGCCAAACCGCCGGCTGCCGCCGCCCCCTCGACCACGACGCCTCGGTCACTATCCCGGCCACAGTCCCCCAACGCACACGGTGGGCCGCAGACGAAGAAGCGCAAGGCCAGCACTGGATCACGGGTACCGATCGGAATGGCAATGACCCGCCTGGACAAAACGCCGCCGCCTACTCAAATGCCCGGAAATCCGGTGCCAGCCCCTGCCTCCGCTTCAACTTCGCCATTCACACCCAATCCCAACAACTTCCAGACCCCTCCCGAGACGGTGTTTGTCCAGAATAGTGCCGCGCCACCCATGCCTCAAGCATACGCTACCGGCCCCCCTACCCCCAACAGCAACGACCAGACATTGTTCACCAAAGCCAACCGCTCCGCTAGCATGGAAAACGTCGCGATGCCAATGTTCTCGGCGCCAGCCTCGGCACACCAGAGCCGCGCCGCGAGCCCCAACGGACTGCGGAACGGCGTGAACGCGGCGGTGTCGCAAAACCAGTTCAATACGATGTCCTATATGCCGACAAATGCTGTTGCCCCGGCTCGGCCGCAGCCGACAATTCACAAGATCATCCCCAACGAAGGCCCGAAATCCGGCGGTATCGAGGTTACGATTCTCGGCGCTAGCTTCTACCAGGGGCTGGAGGTGCTGTTCGGCGACCAAAAGGCTACCACGACCACCTTCTGGGGCGAGTCTTCTCTAGTCTGCCTGCTGCCGCCATCACCAGTCTCTGGTGCTGTCCTGGTCACCTTCAAACAAAGTCAGACGCAAGCTGGACCACCGTTCCCCGCTCTCTCAAAGCAGAACCAGATGTTCAAGTATGTGGATGATGACGAAGAGAAGCTGATCCGCACGGCACTCTCGATTCTGGGCCACAAAATGTCTGGCCAGATGGTCGACGTCAAGGAACTTGCCCAACGCATCATTGGTCAGGGAGATTCCAGCTGGGGATCTGGCCCAACAGGCAATGCTGGCTTTGGCGGCAGCACGTTCACCATGAGCACGGAGTCGCAACTGCTCAAGTGCTTGGAGCTGATCGACCTCGACGACAACCCCAGAATGTCCCGGCTTGATTTGAGACGGTCTACAGGCCAGACCATGTTGCACATGGGCTGCGCCTTGGGATATCATCGATTCGTTGCTGGTCTTCTGGCCCGTGGTGCCAACCCTGATTTGCGCGACAAGGGTGGCTTCACCCCCATGCACTTGGCGGCAATGAACGACCACGAGTCCATCGTGCGAAGGCTGATGCAGGCGGGTGCCGATCCCACGATTCGAAGCCTTTCGGGACTTCGCCCGGCCGACGTCGCTCGTTCACGCAAGGTCATCGGGCATATCCGCCGGTGCGAGCGTCATATCCGTTCCCGGAGCGGCGGCTCTCTGCACAGCAGGGCTAGCAGCGCGGCGTCGCTGAGGTCACTCTGGGATCCCTTGGGCATGTCCAGTGAAGAATCGGCAGACGACGGCGAGGAGAGCCCCGAGTACTCGTCTGGAGACTACGAGGACGATGAACAAGAAGAGGAAGACTCTTGGCTCGATATGCGTCGCCGCTCGAGCAACCATACGTTCACGCCGTGCCAGGACAGACAGCTACATTCACGAGGCCAGGATGAAGTGCAACCGGGGCTTGCCTCGCCCACCACTGCTATCGCTTCTGCCGTCAGGGACCAATTATCTGCTCAGATCCAGCAGATTCAGCAAGCGATGGCATTGCACTTTTCCAACCTTCCTCAGATGCCCGCTTTGCCCAGAATGCCGATGCTTCCCGACTATCACGCCTACCTCCAGCAAAACCCCCTCATGGGCAGAATGACCTCGCTCATGCCAGGCATGTCTGGCTCGCGACCGGGCTCAGCAGGTGACGAGAGTCCCAGGCAGATGGACGGCAAGTGGTGGGATCTGTCGTCGTCGTTCAGGAATATGAACAACAATTCGGTTCCGCCGCCGGCGTACGACGAGATCTTCCCCCAGGATGAACTTGACAAGAAACAAGCCGCTGCGGTTGGGGCTGCTGCCGAAGCTGCCGCGGACATGAAATGTGCCGCGCTCTACGACACCCAGACCACCGAGACTGCGGAGGCGTCGTCAAGTACGGCCCCGGTTCCGAGTGTACTTCGAATTGGCCGCAAGAGCGCCATCACCAAGGAGCAACAACAAGACTTCTTACGAGCCCACGAGGCCAAGTTCAAGGGGATGCGCAGCGACAAGAACCTGTGGTTCATTTGGGTAAGCCTTTTCCCCTCCAAACTCTGCTGATCTTCACAGACTAATGCCTCTTAGATCCCCCTTCTCACATGTATACTGGCTGCTATGCTCTACAGCCGTTTTCCTCATCATTTTGCCATGGCGTGGTCCGTGCTTCGATCTGTTGCGAGAGTGGATCAAGTCCCGGACATTGTAAGGAACGTCCAGGACCGTGTGGTTGAGGCCCTTTAGATCGGTTCGACTTGCTTCAGACAAAACACATGACGCATTTGGGCACACGCCACATCTTGCTCGCTTTTTCGGATCTACAGGGGAGAAATGGAGTTGGTATCTAGGGAACATGTGGAACAGTGTTCATCCCCTATATGCAGCAACTGCACGGGGGTTAGGCAGATGGCGGGCATGGTCAAGGAGTACCGCGCCGCGTTGGGTCAAGGGTTAGGGACATGGTTATTTCGCAGCGCCGACACGGAAAGAAAATCTTGACGGATCCAGTGCCCCATGTCACTGGGCATCTGTCCATCACTTCATTTTTTTTTATTGGTCAGTCCCCTTTGTTGTTTTTATTCGTTGGAGTCCCGTGGAGGAGTCTTCATTACACGTAGCTTGGCCAAGAGAGGCGGGCGGATTAGGTCTCGGGCACTGAAGAGGAGGTTGTATCAAGTATATATATGTGTAGCGATGGGTGTCTCTTTTCCCCCACATCCTTTTTACATAGAGTCAGACGTTGTGTAGACCTGGGATAATGTCAACACTGGTTCATTCAGGGTTCCGGCCGTATCCATTGATGTAAAGTGACGCGTTCGTCATTGTTTGATATGGTGCCTTTAGGGCCAAGCACAACGGCTGGTTCGGCCGATTATGGTCTACCTAGTCCCCTCCCTCGTGGACTTACCCAGCAAGGTTGGCACTCGTATCTAGGAGGTATCTTCCGCTCGGCAGTCCAACCCTTGGCCAACTGAAAGAGACCATCGGAGGGCCCTGCTTCTTCTCTTTTGCTGCCGATGACTCGGGGACGGTCAGAGGAGAGGATACTAAAACAGCGTCGTACGTGTGGTTCAGTCAGCGAAGAACGTGGTGATGTTAGGGGTTTCGACCACAGCAGGTCCTCTTCTTTGTGACCTCTCGTAGTTTAGGTGAGTAGAGATAGCTTAGGTAAAGAAGCAATAACTCTGTTGTCATGGCAGCCATAGAGGTAAAGGTGATACTGTAAAAACGAAAACTCGGGAGGACGTAAACGTTGGAAATAACGACAAGCCATTCCGATGGACCGTTTTGTCGCTGTCAACATTGAGACGTCAGGCATTGAGAGGGAAATTTGGGCACGTGTTGGACCTGAAGGTCAACCTGTTGGAAGTGTGGAGTTGCTTTTGGGCCTGCCTTGGCTTTGGGCAGTGGATGCTCAAACCCGAATTCGACAGGCTGTTCTTCAGATCGGGGATGCCTCGATCGGGGAAAAGGTTGTCAACATATCTGGGCCAGTGATGGCTCCTGATCCTACCTAGCGCTTGGTTCTGGGTCCTGAATCAGTTGAAGACTACGAACGGATGTTGGGAAACCATGATCGCCCACCGTTGGACATTGATGGGTCATCATCTGACTCTAACTAGGATGATTCATCCACTTCTTCCGAGAGCAACTCAGGCCTGTCGTCGGTTGTAACACGTCAGACCCCAGGAATCCAGAAGGGGAATCTGCATGTGTGAGTGCGAGTTTTCCCCACCTCTTATTTCAGACACCATGACCTCCAAGTAAAGAATAACGTCAAGAAGCCTATTCTACATAAGCTGGATCATTCTATTCACATAGGGTAAACAGTAAAGCCAAGGGAGACGTCACCGCCAGGTCAGGCAGAATAGAGCAACATCTAATACAAGATAGAACAATGCCGTTTTGACTTCACATCAAGTTCTCTATAACGTTCACTTAGAGTAGCATGGTAAAAAAGGAAGTAGGCCAGGTCATCTTGATATTGTACAGTGCTGGGTCATTAGTATTTGAACAGCAATAATGAGGACCAATCAACCAGCTAGACTTCCTCCGTGCGGTCCACACTTACAAGGAACTTGCACCGAAATATCATAATAACCGATTTACTTAGCCCTGGGTTATGTGAGACCGGCATCATGGGACCCTTATTGCTGTTCAAAAACTAACGACCCAGCACTGTAGCTATAGAAATGGATTTAAAGCAAGCCAAAGTCTCTATCTCTCCCTCTCTCGCGTGCTTCTTCAAGTAGCATTCTCTCGAAGGGCGGTAATAGTAGACTTAATAGTGGGATTGTCGTAGACGCGAGCCACAAAGGTCCAAAGTGCGGCTTCTTTGCCGAAGATTCCTGTTGATTCTCAATCTCGTCAAGGGGCTTCTTCGCCTTTTGAGCCTTTCGGATCCATGGTATTCTTGTCCCACTTCTCGGTGAAGCGGCCGTCGGGTGTACGGTAAGACATGCTTTGGGTTTCGGTTTCGTCAGTGTCTTCGTTTTCGGAGGCAAGACTGCTGGTGTTGTCGGGGTCTCCCTTGGGTGTCCAGGCGGCGGTGGACGCGGTCCAACGATGACGAATTGGGTATGGATTTTCCTCCTTCCAGCAGTCAGGCTGAGGATTTTGCTGGTGAATTGCTCGGGCTTCCTTCTCGTCGTCGGTGCATTTGCCGTGCAATTGCCATGGTTGTACTTCAAATGCTAACGCATACTGCGCCGAATTGTCCGTGATTGAATGGTCAATCGTCGGTCGGATCTCCGTCGTTAGCACTGTCGTCGAGCACCTCAATGACGGTGTCGGGCGAGCGGTCCGGCTCGTAATCCTCAAGTTGGATGATCATTTCCTTGGTGAATCCCAAGGCCGCGCCATTGTTTATCTCGTCTGCCTCCTGTAGCTCCTCCTCGGATGCGCTAGCGACTCGGTCCCATCCACGGGTATTGACGATGTGGAGTCTTGCGGACAGGCTTAGGCCAATTTTGTGGTGAGCCTGTTTCTGAAAGCGTTTGTCCATATTTTTCCACATCTCATCGGAAGTCGCGTGACGCTCCTTCTGCGTTACCCAGCGCGCCAAGGACGTTCCTGGGCCCAAGACCACGGCAGGATCGACGTCGGGGTGGACGGAGGCGCTGCCGTCGACGCCCATGGATCGCAGCACCTCCTCGCACTGCGCCGGCCACGCATGGTAGGTATCCTGACGCTGGAAGTCCCCACCTGGATATGTTAACCCTGGATCTATCTGGGCCAGCTGTCACCGGCGTCCGACGTGTTCACCCCTGAATACTGCCATGCCGACTCAGAGTGACGGCAGGGGTTGAGAGGGCGACGACAAAAACGACAACGACGACGACGACGACGACGACGACGGCAACAACAACAACGACGACAACGAAGACAACAACGACGGCCGCCACCACCGCCTGCCTTTGGTGGGCACAGAGTCAGCGAGGCATCATTTCGTCAGAAACATGTATACTGTCATTGTCACATATGTACAGAAAACTAATTTGTGAAAAGCAAAAATATCACTCGTACCCTGACAATAACACAAGCAAAATAACAACCCCCCCTCTCCCATAAAACAGAAAGATGATTTCGCTCCGAAGCAGGTTTTTGAGGGTATCACAAGAGACACCGTTTGTGGGTATTTCCCAAATTCCAAAATAATGTGGCCCCATACCTTGGTTTTTCTTTTGTAGCGCCTCCTTTTTCTCACCCCTCGCACGATCCAAACCTCGCGGTCGTGAAGTTGTCATTCTTCTTTGCGTCGTGCTCAAGTCCCCACCTGGATATGTCAGCCCTGGCTCTATCTGGGCCAGCCGTCACCGGCGTCTGGCGTATTCACCCCTGAATACTGCCATGCCGACTCCGAGTGACGGCGAGGGTTGAGAGAACGACGACGACGACGGCCACCACCACCACCTGCCTTTCAAAGGGTGGGCGCATAGACTCAGCGAGTTCGTGAAATTGTTATTCTTCTTCGCGTCGTGCTCGTACCCGTTCCGAAAGTTAGGCCTGGACGGGCTGGATCTGTTTGAAGATCTCTTGGGCGGTCCGCTTGACGATACCACCGGTGACGGGCAGGCTGGTGCACTGCTCGAGGAACAGGTCGATCTCGCGGGCGGCCTGTCTGCCTTCGTTGATACCCCTGGCAAACTTGTTAGCTTTTTGATCAGATTAAGTGGGTTCCGGGACGGTTGGTCTTACCAAACGATGAGCGACTGGCCACGGCGGCAGTCACCGGCAGCAAAGATACCAGGGACGCTCGTGCTGTACTTGCCCGGCGGGGTCTTGACGTTCTTGCGAGCGTCCTTCTCAATGTCATCGCCAAAGAGGCGGGTCTCGGGGCCGAGGAAGCCCATGGACAGGAGGACGAGGTCGGCAGGGAAGAACTGCTGCGAGCCCTCGACCTTCTTCATGTCCCAGCCGCCGGTGGCGGAGCGGGTCCACTCGACGCGGATCGTGTTGATGCCCTTGACCTTGCCGGTGCCGTCGTCGACGAACTCCTCGGACATGATGCAGTACTCACGCGGGTCCTTGCCCATGTGCTGCTTGACCTCGGTGTGGCCGTAGTCCACACGGTAGATGCGGGGCCACTGGGGCCAAGGGTTGTCACGGGCACGCTCCGGCGGGGGCTGGGGCAGAAGCTCAAAGTTGATGACCGACTTGGCGCCGTGGCGGACAGAGGTACCAATGCAGTCGTTGCCGGTGTCGCCACCGCCGATGACGATGACGTTCTTGTCCTTGGCGGAGATGTAGGCACCATCCGCAAGCTCCGAGTCGAGGAGCGACTTGGTGTTCTTGTGCAAGAACTCCATGGCGTAGTGGATGCCCTCGAGCTCACGGCCCTTAATGGGGAGGTCACGAGCGACGGTGGCACCGGTGGCGATGACAACGGCGTCGTTCTCGGCCTTGAGGTCCATGAGCTGGATGTCCTCGCCGACGGCGACGCCGCACTTGAAGTTGATGCCCTCGGCAGCCATGAAGTCGGTGCGGCGCTTGACGATGCGCTTGTCGAGCTTCATGTTGGGGATACCGTACATGAGCAGACCGCCGGGGCGGTCGGCACGCTCGTACACGGTGACGGTGTGACCGGCACGGTTGAGCTGGTCGGCGGCAGCCAGACCAGCAGGGCCGGAACCGATGATGGCGACCTTCTTGCCAGTGCGGACCTCGGGAGGGGTAGGGACCATCCATCCCTGCTCGAAGCCGCGGTCGATGATGGCGCACTCAATGGACTTGATACCGACGGGGTCCTCGTTGATGCCGAGTACGCAAGCACCCTCGCAAGGAGCAGGGCACACACGACCGGTGAACTCGGGGAAGTTGTTGGTCATGAGCAGACGGTTGAGAGCGTCACGCCACTGGCCTTGAAATACTAATTCATTCCATTTGGGAATGATGTTGGAGATGGGGCAACCGGTCTCGGACTGGCAGAAAGGAACACCGCAGTCCATGCAACGAGCGGACTGATATTTGAGCTCATCTTCATCGAGACGGGATGAAAGCTCGGCCCAGTCCTTTGTACGGGTCTTGGCGTTTCTGTACTTCTCGGCACGGCGCTGGTATTTCATGAAACCCTTGGTCTTGTCGAGGACGAGAGCGCGCTTCTTCTCAGCGGCGCTGTCGCCAATGGTCTCTTCGATATCCTGGAGCTTGGCGGCCTTCTCCTCCTTCTTGGCGTGGACGCCTGAGACGATGGGGAGGTTGTACTCGGCACGCTTGGCCTCGGCAGCCTTGGCGGCCTCCTCGGCCAGGACACGCTTGTAGTCGACGGGCATGACCTTCACGAAGCGAGGGAGAGCCCGGTTGAAGTCCAACAGGATGCGAGCGGCGAGCTCGGAACCAGTGTAATGGTGGTGGTCCTCGATAAGACCACGGAGGTAGGCGATCTCAGTGGGCTCTTCGACGGCCTCGGCCTCAACCATTTCGGTGTTGAGCTTCGAGAGGAAGTCCTTGTGAATGTCGAGGACGTAGGCGATACCACCGGACATGCCGGCAGCGAAGTTGCGGCCGGTGCTGCCCAGAATGACGATACGACCGCCAGTCATGTACTCGCAACCGTGGTCACCGACACCTTCAACAACAGCGGTAGCACCGGAGTTACGGACAGCGAATCGCTCAGCAGCAACACCGCGGAAGAAGCAAGTGCCCTTGGTGGCACCGTACAAGCAGACGTTGCCCACAATGATGTTCTCCTCAGCCTTGAACACGGAGGAGCGTGGAGGGTAAACGATCAGACGACCTCCAGACAGACCCTTGCCAACGTAGTCATTGGCATCACCCTCGAGCTCCAGAGTGACACCAGGAGCAAGGAAAGCGCCAAAGGACTGACCAGCGGAACCCTTGATGTTGACGTGTACAGTGTCCAGCGGCAGACCATCTTCACCGTAGCGCTTGGAGATGTGGTAGGACAGCGAAGTGCCCATAGCGCGATCGGTGTTGACAATGTCACACTCGATTCTGGAAGGCAGGCCCTTGTCCAGAGTCAACTCGGCCTCGGAGATTAGCTTGTTGTCCAGGCGGACGTAGAGCTTGTGGTCCTGCTTGCGAACGTTGAAGGTCGCGACGCCGGGGCGGAGCTTGTGAGCAGGAGTCAGGAGGAGAGAGAGGTCGATGTTGGCAGTCTTGTTGGTACGGAGGTCGTCGCGGACCTTGAGGACTTCAGCGTGACCAACCATCTCGTTGATGGTACGGAAACCAAGCTTGGCCATGATGGCACGGAGCTCGTTGGCGACGTAGTAGAAGAAGTTGATAACGTGCTCAGGGGTACCGGTGAACTTCTTGCGAAGCTCAGGATCCTGGGTAGCAATACCAACAGGGCATGAATTCAAGTGACACTTACGCATGAAGATGCAGCCCATGGCGATAAGAGGAGTGGTGGCGAAGCCCCATTCCTCAGCACCGAGCAAGCAGGCCATGGCGACGTCACGACCGGTGCGGAGCTGACCGTCAGTCTGCACAACAACACGGCCACGGAGATCGTTCAGGACCAGAGTCTGGTGGGTCTCGGCAAGGCCAAGCTCCCAGGGGAGACCGGCGTACTTGATACCGGTCCAGCGGGAGGCACCAGTACCACCGTCGTGACCGGAGATCAGGATATGGTCGGCCTTGGCCTTGGCGACACCGGAAGCAACGATACCAACACCGACCTCGGACACGAGCTTGACGGAGATGCGAGAGCGGGGGCTGGAGCACTTCAGGTCGTAGATCAGTTGCTTCAAGTCCTCAATGGAGTAAATGTCGTGGTGAGGAGGGGGCGAGATGAGACCGACACCGGGGGTGGAGTGGCGGGTGCGAGCAATGGACTTGGAGACCTTGTGGCCGGGAAGCTCACCACCCTCACCAGGCTTGGCTCCCTGGGCCATCTTGATCTGAAGTTCGTCGGAGTCGGCGAGGTAGGCAGAAGTGACACCGAAGCGGCCGGAGGCGACCTGCTTGATGGCGGATCTCATGGTGTCGCCGTTGGGCAGACGTTGAGAGCGCTCAGGGTCCTCACCACCTTCACCAGTGTTAGACTTGCCGCCAAGTCTGTTCATGGCAACGGCCAGAGTGGAGTGGGACTCCATAGAGATGGAACCGTAAGACATGGCACCAGTGCAGAAACGGCGGACGATCTCGGTCCATGGCTCGACCTGCTCGATGGGGACGGGAGTGCAGTCCTCGAACTTGAAGTCGAGCATGCCACGGAGCGTGCAGGCCTTGATCTGCTCGTACTGGGAGCGGGAGTACGCCTCGTAGGATTTGTCGTTCTTGGTACGGACCGCATCCTGGATGTTGGCAATGCAGGTGGGGTCGTTCATGTGGGCTTCACCACCATCGCGCCAGTGGTACTCGCCGGACTCCGGCAGTCCCTTGACACCGACGGTGTAGCGGGAGGGGAAGCCACGCTCATGGAAGCGGAAGCCGTCCTCTGCGATGGCCTCGAAGGTGGAACCCTGGATGCGCGAGGCGGTACCCTTGAAGCAGCGCTCGATGACAGTCTCGTCAAGACCAAGAGCCTCGAAGATCTGAGCACCCTTGTAAGAAGCGAGAGTAGAGATACCCATCTTGCTCATGACCTTCAGGATACCACCGTCGCAAGAGTGCTTGTAGTTGTGGATCAGAGCATCGTCGGAAAGCTTCTTCTTAATGAGCTTCTCGCGGTTCAGCTTGAGGATGCACTCCATAGCGAGGTAGGGGTTGATGGCATCGGCACCGTAGCCCAGGAGGACACACATGTGGTGGACCTCACGAGCCTCGGCAGTCTCGACGACAATGGCAGCTAGAGAACGCCACTTGTTGCTGACGAGATGGTGGTGAACCATACCGGATGCGAGCAGGGCAGAAACTGGAACGCGGTCCTTGGAAGTCTTGCGGTCAGAGAGGACGATGATGCGGTCCTTGTTCTCAATGGCAGCGGTGGTCTCGTTGCAGATGTAGTCGAGGTGGCGCAGGTAGCCCTCGGTGCCCTCGCTCTTCGGGAAGGTCAAGTCGATAGTC